TATATATATATATATATATTATTTTATCCTTTAAGTGAAAAACATAATTGAAAGAGAATACAAAATTATAGTATAATTGAAAGACAAAATTGTCTAATGAAATGTGGATAGCAAAAAATATGTCCTCTTTATTAATTTTATATTATTAATTTTATAGATTGAATATCTTTTATAACTCTTTACATCAAGCTTTTTAAGATAGAAAAGAGAGAGAGAGAAACGGAGAGGCATTTTTGACATTTTTTTTATTTTAAAAATGCATGTATGAAGTCAAATATAAAAGTAAAATTGTAAATAATTGGAGTGATATTATCTGTTTCTCATATATATGCAAGTAGCGAAATACATATAAAAAATTAATAATATTAATAGTTCAAATTTTAATTAAATTGAATTGTAAAAAACTTGTAGGTGCATGTCTTCAGATTCAGTTTCTTTAAATATTTAGACAAAAAAAATTCCTTTTGAATAAAATGCTAAAACATGTTTTTTTTAGTAGAAAAAATATTTTCTTCAATTTATTTTATTTTAAATTTAATATTAAATTCACACTAAACTAAATCTATTTTTTATGGTTTAGGGTTTAGTAGAAAAAGGAAATTCTATTTTTTAGTAGAAAAAAATATTTTCTTCAATTTATGTTTTTATTTTATTTGACTTTTTGAATTTTTAATTTATTTTTGTATGACTTTAAAAAAGATTATTTTGAATTTAGTAATTAACAAAATCTAACAACCAACTAACTCATGCGTAAAATTATTCAAAATGACATTTATGAAGAATACAACCTTCAACTTTTGATGTACGTAGAAAGTTTTTGATGAAGACAATTCAAAGGGTAGAATTTCTACCCCTAATTAATTAGAAACATTTGAATTAATCCTAAATTTATTTATCAAAGCTAAAGCATTTTTAAATCATGGCTATTAATTAATTTCATGTACTATCCTAAATGTGCTCTTGCAAATATTTACGAGAGGTTTTTAATAAATACACTCAATGCATTTCAAAATTAATGTAAGACTAGAGTATAACTTTTTTAATGTTCTCTCTTTAAAAAATAAATTTATTTTTTTTATTATGTATTTTAAATTATTTATTTATTTATTTCTTATCTTGTATAAAAATAACTTTTTAATACCTGAAAATCTTTTTACAAAAGAAAGCCTAAAAATTGGAATCCAAATATCAATATCAGCTTCCATATCTATATGTTGTTAAAAAAAATGGAAAGTTTAGAGAAGCTCGAGTTAAAATACACAGTGCACTATCTTTAGGGGGGGAAAATGCTTAACTACACTAGTAAATTCATCGTTTTTAGCAAAAATAAATTCTTGAACTAAAGATTAAAAACCTACTTTTAACAATAAGATAAATATTTCTTAAAATGAGAAAGATGTTCAACACGTTAGAAGTAAATTATATATATATATATATATATATAAAATAACTCGTAGTCTTGGAACCAGGATCGTTCCTATTATAATTTAAGATAGCATATTTTGGGAAGCTCGAAATGGAAAGAACGTACAGTAACCGGTTACAGTTTAAACTTGTATTGTAATCTTGTACGTGCAAACTACTTAAAACACTCATTACTATGCCGACACAAATGGGTTACTTCTTATTAAGAAACAAATTAACAGTGATATATATATTTTCTTGATATCTTTAAATTAATTATACATTAGCCATATCTCTCGGAACAAAATTATGTAAATTAAGTAAGGGTAAATACATAGACACTCCTTAAGATTTTTTGAGATTGTATGTAACATTATAAATTTATAATATGATCCTTCTAAAGTAAGTTAATGTAAAAGTTATAGAAAAAATATATAATAAAAAAAAAGATATATATAATTTCACTTATAAGTCTCCGAATAATTGACTAGTTAAGTTAACAAACTGATGAATATCCCGCGCAAAAACTACATGCAGATTTTTCATGTATTTAGAAGATTATAATGCTTAGTGTATTATTTGTTTTAGTTTATGTTAACTGTTAACTTGCGTAATCTAGACAAAGTTGTCAGGTAGTGTTCCGGTTGGCCGAAAAAGGTGTCTTGCCAAATTTGCATGGGCCAATTATAATTCCTTTCCCAAATTACTGACGTAATTAATCATGAATTCAGAATCGGTGGTTTTGTTTGTTTTCCAACCAAAATTCTTATTATTGGACGGTTATTTCACAAAACTGAGTAAATTGAACTACTACAAACAAAATATTGCCCCAAGTAAACAGTCATAATAAAATAAAACAAAAATAACTATTTTGAAATTAAATTTAATCTGAAACATCAAAGAGAATGAACAAGAAAATTATTTTTTTTTTTTGTTATTTTGTCCCATGCCATGATTGACATATTCACATATATTTATAATGAAGGGATGGCTAGACATAAGGTCAGAATTTGATTTTATAATAAACATTTTTAAAAACATTGGTCGTGTGGCCCTCTTCATCTTAGCTGTATATAAAGGTCCAAAGCTCGTGGCCTTAACAACTAACTTCCCTTGTTTGTATTGTAGCCTTGAATTCAACCCCTTGATAAGGCAATGAGCACCCTCCCTAAAACTCAAGGGAAATCTGTCCCTGATGCCTCCGACTACAAGGGCCACCCCGCCGATAGGTCCAAAACCGGTGGCTGGACCGCTTCCGCCATGATATTAGGTCTCACTAACTCACTCAAATGTCATTTCATTTTTCTTCACACACTATATAGATTGGCATGTTACTTTATTTTTACTATTTAATATTTATATAGGTGGAGAAGTGATGGAGAGGTTGACAACCCTCGGCATCGCCGTGAATTTGGTCACGTATTTAACCGGAACCATGCATTTGGGCAATGCTGCCTCTGCCAACGTTGTTACCAACTTCTTGGGAACCTCTTTCATGCTCTGTCTCCTCGGTGGTTTTCTCGCCGATACTTTCCTAGGAAGGTCCGAACCTCGCTGTTACTACAATATTATCATCTTAATTATTTAATTTAATGGGAAAACCAAGACCACTTCACCAGATCAACCTAAATTAGTATTTTATTTTATTCACGTTTTTTACTATATGCCTCCTCATTCCTCAGTATTCATTGGATTTTATTTTTATTTTCACAGATACCGCACTATCGCCATCTTCGCAGCCGTTCAAGCAACTGTAAGGATTTTAAAAATTAATGAAAGTCACAATTTCTTTTTAAGTCCTTCATGGATGATAATATATAGTGATTAAGTTTTGTTTGGTGGGGTGGAACGTGTGCGTGTGTGTGTGTGTAGGGTGTTACAATATTGACGATATCAACCATAGTTCCGAGCCTACACCCTCCGAAGTGCAAGGAAGAGACGGTGGCACCTTGCGTGCGAGCGAATGAGAAACAGTTAATGGTGCTTTATTTGGCGCTTTATGTGACGGCCCTTGGCACTGGGGGTTTGAAATCCAGCGTATCAGGGTTCGGTTCGGACCAGTTCGATGATTCGGATAGTGAAGAGAAGAAGCAGATGATAAAGTTCTTCAACTGGTTCTACTTCTTCGTGAGCATAGGGTCTCTGGCAGCAGTGACTGTTCTTGTGTACATACAAGACAACCAAGGACGAGGTTGGGGTTATGGTATTTGCGCAGGTGCCATTGTGGTGGCGCTTCTTGTGTTCTTGTCAGGTACGAGGAAGTACCGCTTCAAGAAACTTGTTGGAAGTCCACTAACTCAGTTTGCTGAAGTCTTTGTTGCTGCTCTTAGAAAGAGGAACATGGAATTACCCTCTGATTCATCGTTGCTCTTTAATGAGTATGACACCAAGAAGCAGACCCTGCCACGTAGCAAGCAGTTTCGGTAAAATTTCTCACCTCTTATTTTTCTTTCTTATGTTTCTTTGTTAGATATTCCTCGATCATTCACTTTATTATTAATTTTTTTTGCCTCCTCGAGTAAGCTTTGACTTTAGAGTAATTATTAACCAATGAAACATCAATCATTCCTTTAATTAAATGAAGATTGATTGATGTTTAACTAAAGTTTATGCAGCTCAATCTAAAGTTTCTCTTTTAAGTTTAATATTCTATTCTTCTGTGCAACTGTGTAATTAAATTTTCGGTTGTCATTGCTTGTTAACAATAGTTTGCCAAAAGAAATGTTTTTTTATTGAAGAAAGTTATTTTCATACCAAAGAAAGGTGTATGTAACTTGAAGATCGGTGGGAAGAGAAAGGTATGTGGGAAAGCGATAAAAAAAAAGTACTGTATTAATAATAAGTGAAGTGTGAAGTGAGTATATGAAAATTTGGATATGAAAAAAGGGGTTTAGTATTTTAGTTATTGCTATATATGACAAGCTAAACTTTTTTTATTCCCACTGGTAATAAAATGCTATTATTTCCTTACCTTGAAGAGATTCTTGGCATTGGGCCATTATTTTACATATTTTTTACGGTATTGGATCCACGTATTATTAGGTCTTTGTTTCCATATTGAGGATTGTTTTACTAAGATAATTAACGTTAAAAAATAGCGCAAACATGCAATAAATTGCCGTTGAAGGGTAGCTTGAAATATTTGAATGATGAAGATTTAGGAGGTGGTTGTATTTGGTAGAAGCGTGAATAATTGGGCCAAAGAATCGACTGCGTAAGGACTTAGAGCCAGATATGTAGGAGTAGAAATAGTTGGCCATGAAAGGGAAAAGCAATAAGCTATCTTGGCTCATTTGCTATGTGGTCCGGAGAGAAGTCCACTCCACGAGCTTAGAGAAGAAAAAATGTATGGTTTAGAATATTTTGTCATACTTGCTTCGAAAATTGGATAGTACATGAGATTAATTAATAGCCATGATTTTTTTATGTCTTCCTTTTGAGATTTGCAAAATATCCTCCTCTCTCTCCCTTTCAATTTGCTTCAACGTATGGAGACCAGGATGAGAAAACACCTAATAATTGTCCTTAAAAACTCGAGTCCCTCTTACAACTCATAAGGAATCAGAATCCAATCAACTCCAAGTGGACATTCACGCGCCATTTGTCCTGAATCAAACAGATTAATTCCACTATTTATTTTCTCACCTTTGCCCTTGACACACTGCCACCTCTAACATAGACAAGACTATCTGTATGCTACACCTGCGCTCAACAATTCATGTTCCTTGTTCACGATCATGTGATCTCTACTAATTAATACTAAACTTAAGACATCTTCTGTGGTAGGTATGACCACATGCACAAGCGTTTTGCCAGATTGGAATAAACATATAGGAGTATTTATTCATATCATGGTCATGCATAGGCATGCACGACCAATTGGATACTTAACTTATTTCATTTCTTGAATGTTGTGTTACTTAACTTGATAATTCTAGTCATATATGTCTTTTGGGGTTAGCTCAAATTAAATATGAATTAATGAATATATTTTATTTTATTGATGGAGCAGTTTCTTGGACAAAGCTGCAATGATGGACTCATCAGAATGCGGTGGTGCAATGAAGAGGAAGTGGTATCTTTGCACCTTAACAGACGTGGAAGAGGTGAAAATGGTGCTAAGAATGCTACCCATATGGGCCACGACCATAATGTTTTGGACGATACATGCTCAAATGACCACATTCTCGGTGTCACAAGCGACCACCATGGACCGACACATAGGAAAAACATTTCAAATACCCGCGGCATCAATGACCGTTTTCTTAATCGGAACAATTCTCCTGACTGTTCCCTTCTACGACCGTTTCATTGTTCCCGTGGCAAGGAAAGTGCTGAAGAACCCACACGGGTTCAGCCCTTTGCAACGCATTGGTGTTGGTTTGGTTCTCTCAGTGTTCTCCATGGTGGCAGGGGCATTAGTAGAAATAAAGAGACTGAGATATGCACAATCACATGGTTTGGTAGACAAGGCAGCAAAGATTCCAATGACCGTGTTCTGGTTGATCCCACAGAATTTCTTAGTGGGGTCAGGGGAAGCATTTATGTACATGGGGCAGTTAGACTTCTTTCTTAGGGAGTGTCCCAAAGGGATGAAAACCATGAGCACGGGGTTGTTCTTGAGCACACTCTCCTTGGGCTTTTTCTTTAGCACCTTGTTAGTGTCAATAGTGAACAAAATGACAGCACATGGGAGGCCATGGCTTGCGGATAATCTTAACCAAGGGAGGCTCTATGACTTTTATTGGCTTTTGGCCATATTGAGTGCTATCAATGTGATGTTATACTTGGTTTGTGCAAAGTGGTACGTGTACAAGGACATGAGGCTTGCTGAGGAGGGCATAGAATTGGAAGAAGCAGATGAAGCTACTTTTCACGGCCATTGAATCTTCTCCTACCAACTTTTTCCCTCCTTTTGTCTTTTTTTTTGAAAACCCTCATGCTTGTATCAATATGCTAATCAAGTATTTTCACACCCAAAAAAAAATGGCTAGCATATACATGGTTACCATAAATAAGCTTGTAAGTGGTGACCATTGTCTGTGTTTATACTGTGCAAAAGAGAAGGCAAATAAATTGAATTGTTTACTCCATAATCACGAGGACTAGTTTATTTGACATCAATCTGATCAATGCTTAATTATACGCTCATGCTCCTTTCAAACGTGACTGTTAAGTCCCATAAACATTTGGAAAAGGCACATGTTAAACACACCTCCATATCAACACACCCCTTTTTTAAAAAAAAAATATATAAAATGTCTAAATTACTCTTTTAAAAAAATGAAATTCCTAAATTTACACCTCCCTTTCCCGCACCCCCTTTATCCTGTATAAGCATGTAAACTTTAGTCTGGAACGACACCAGCACGGGCCGTTCTGCAAAAAGAACGACCCGTTCTGCTTTCAGAACGACCCGTACTGCAGCAAAACAGCCCGTTCTGCAAGCAGTACGGCCCGTTCTGCAAGCAGTACGGCCCGTTCTGCAAGCAGTACAGGCCGTGCTGCTTGCAGTACGGGCCGTTCTGTTGCAGTACAGGTCACCGCGTCACTTTTAAAATGGCTACTTTATGACTGATTTTAAAATTCTGATTTTAAAAGTCATTTTTATACTAGTGTTTCTTTCCATAGAACAAGTAAGAGTCTTTCTCTTACAAGACCACCTGCTGACATTGCGCACCCCTCTTCTTTCTCTTTGTGGCACTCCTCTTCTTCTTTTTTTTTTTTCCCGCACCTCGCACACCCCTCTTCTTTCTCTTTCTAGCACTCCTCTTCTTCTTCTTATTGTTACGGAAAGTTCTTTCCGGAATTATATAAAAATGTTCCGAAAAATACTTTTCATAATATTAAATTCTTATTCCGGAAAGTATTTTCTGGAAATGTTTTGTTACATAATTCCGGAAAGTACTTTCCGGAATGCTAATGACTGTAAAAGTACTTTCCGGAATGCTAATGATTGTAAAAGAGCCTTTCTTATGCTGGTTATGGTGGGGCTAATCCTTTTTTTCTATTCAGAATGAATGTAAAAGTATATTACTTAATGACATTGAGCGGAAAGAGACTTTGGAAAGAAGAGAGGTGTGGAGTGTGGGGTGCGGGGTGCGGGGAAGGGGGGTGCGGGGAAGGGAGGTGTAAATTTAGGAATTTCATTTGGTAATTTAGACATTTTATATATTTTTTTAAAAAAGGGGTGTATTTATACGAGAGTGGAGGTATGTTTATCATCGGCCTTTGGAAAAATATGGTTCATTAGTTATCGGTCTTTGGGCCCTGGCCCTGGCCCGCCATTTGGAAACCCAATAATACTGATTTCTTATTTAACTTATTAATCCTTTACACTTACTTACGTGTAGAGTAAAACATAATCCAACTAATCAAATTTCATAAAGTTAATTTAGTTTGATTTTTTTTTTCTTGGTAGAATTTAAATCACAATGTCAAAATAAGAACACTAATTTATTATAATTATATTAGACTTAAACGTATTTTAAATCTTAATGGATTTTATTTTTTGTTTCAACCCTTCTCATTTTTTTTGTTTGATATTCGTCTATTTTTTTAAAATTTTAATTTTAATCTTCATTCTTAAGGATATTCTATTCAAATATAATGTGCGCATATAGTATGTGCCATGTGCCATCTGTATTACATGTGACATAAATATAACACAACATCACTTTGCTTGAAGACAATAAAACCTTTTCGTCCAGAGACATGGAATTTGAATGCATATTTGGAATTATTTTATCAAGAAAAACTTTTCTTTAACAAAATACTATTTTTAGTAAACTATGATATATTTGTTAAAAATACACCTAAAAGTGATTATAATACATTGCAGTATGACTTGTTTTTATTCAAAAGTTTTTCTTATACTATACTCTAAGACCAAAAAAAAAAATTGACCTAAATTTAAAAAATATTCGTATTATAAAAGGAAAAAAAATTAATCTTCAAGACTTGGGGGTATAATCTTTACTCTTTTTTTCTTTTAAAAAAATTAAATGAATTTTATTCCAGAATAAAGGATCTCTAAAATAGTTTAGAGGCTATCCAAGTCTAAAACATTCAAGAGAATAATTTATCATCTATTAACCTAAGAGAAAATTATATACTTGTATTTTAGTGTATTAAAATCTCAGATACTCTAGAGATAATTTCTAACTATTCCAGCATATTTTTCTCAGACTCTAATTACTAAATACATCTATAGTTCTCAAGAGCAAATCATTGAACTTTTATCTCAGATAAATACGTAGGTAACCAACACAATAACCAAAATATACTTGGTTGAAACAGTTTACTCTTAGCTTTAGACATTACAAATTCATATCTCGTTAACGAGGAACTAATATATCGATGAAACTAATAATGCTTTTTTCTCTCCATTGAAAGCGTCTATATGGCCTGAGCTAATCCTAAACTTCATTTCCTGTGAACTTGTCAAAATAAATAAATAAATAAATATATATATATATATATATATATATATATATATATATATGTGTGTGTGTGTATATGAGAGTAACTATGTTAGAATTCATTGACACTGTGATGTCAAAATTATAAAATGACATATTCAATATCTTTTGATAAAATAAAAATTTAATTTATTCAACAGTTATATTTGATAGTATTAATATCAAAATTCAAATAATTTTGACTCTTCTAAATATGTTATTTAATATTAGATATTTATATATATATATATATATAT